TATATATATATATATATTATATATATATATATTATATATATATATATATCATGTGAAGCGGGGGAAATCGGTGGAAATGAAAACAGAAAACAACAGTGTACCCGTCGTATGAATCATGTGCAATATCATATTCAGCACATCGCGGATGGCCAATTCGGTGATCATTTATTTGACACAATATGAGAAATTAAACTAGCGGCGAATTTGGTGACTGAAAATGGCTTGACTGGGTCGCTAGCGGATAGTCACTGAAATGAACAGATTGATCTGTGGTAATATATAATATATATGGCAATATAATGAAATTAATTATGTTTAAGGTGCTCGAACTCGTCTACACTGGTGCCTTTGAAAAAACGATGTGGGGATGGACCTGTGGTGAACCTTGTGAAATTCTGTAAACAATGTGTTTTTCGAAACATACATCGCAATTTATCGAAAGTTTACGATTAACATGATCCTATTCCAAAGGCGTGTGGATCAAGCCTGACAAAGAAATCGTAAACAATGTTTGCCGTAATAGCTCATATAAAAGAAATAGGTCAGAACGTCGCAAGCTTACTGGGTGACTACGTGACGTTTTTATGTGATTAGAAAAAAGTCCGCTAATCCGTTGCAAATCCTGTTTTATCACATATGCGTGGTGAACAAATTAAATTGTTATTGAAGGGCATAGAAATATTACCAATTAAAAACCCATAAATACCTACCTTATAACCGCCCTCTTTATATTCTGTTCTTTATTATCGGGCTATAGATAGATCCTAGCGGACTTATCTGACTCAATATTTGCGTTGCATTATCGAGGTCCTTGAAATATTTTTTGCTGTCTTTGCTACCTTACGAAATACACTTATACTGGCTACCTAGCTTTTTTACGTTCCAACGTTTTCGTGCATAGCACTATCATTGTTGACGTAGTATGTTCTAAAGTTGGCCAATACTTTAGCTGATACTGGTTATCGTTGGAGGAACAGCAACGTCAGATGAATACACAGGCAAGAAAATGGAAAAAACCCAAGATCTGCAATTGCAACGTGGAGACAAGTGACCGCCATACCGTCCCCGGACTTCACTAAGACGCCAAAGCATGCGTGAGGGTGTGAAAAATCGGTTTGTTGGGCTATTCATTAGAGACTAGTAATTAGGTTGTTTTTGTGTTATTATTTTTCATAGGTGAATGAATGAATTAATGAATGAATGAATTAACTGTTGGGGCATGGAAGAATCAGATACAAAATAGCTCGTTTAATGACGAAAAAACGCTTGTTAGTATATTTCAATAAAAGGTTTAGCTTGAAGACGCCTTCACTTAATCAATCACCTTTTACCTACACTTATTTTGAAACAAATGAAAATGCCCTGAAAAGTAGAGCCGTTAAGTCCGTTGAGTTTTTGCACAAAGATTGCTGACTGAAGAGATGGTTAGCATCAGGATACATTGTAGCTTGATGAATTTGACTTTTGCCTTTAAGGCGGAATATGACAATAGAATTTAAGAAGCTGTGAGTTCGATGATAAGTTCCTGTTTTAGACCGTTAGAAGGACAGCACGGTTTTAAAATAAAGGTGTCTTATTTTGCCTGTTACCGGTTCATACAAATACAAATGGGTGTACGAATGTAGGCGTCATGGTATTTCACACTCTTAAACTTAACGTACTACATCAGGGTTTATACTGTTTCTATATTAGGCTTATTATTAATAATATTATCGTTATTTAGGCTCCTGTATATCATTTGTTGATGTTTTTAATTTTCTCAAGAGACTGACCCGTTTTTACATGGATTTCTTCACTTACCCAGCCATCCAGAAAATTTACTCAAGATTTATATGTAATACTACCTTCTCAAACTCTGATACGAATATCCAAGGGTTTATGTTTTAAACCAGAAAGCAAATGACTCATTTTTCAAGCGTCCTATGAACAGTTTACACTGCCTGGTTGTCGTCATCGCCGCAGCATGTTCAAAGGCTAAACAGTGACAACCAACTCATATGGACTGATGTTTTTCGGTATTATACGAATAAGATTTGTCAAAACATGTATAGGCCGTTTACGTGTGAAGCTTGTATAATCGAGTCGTTGGACGTATAAAAGGCAGCGATGGACACACAGATGTTCCAGGGAGCGAGAGAACGGAGCATAAACTTTCATAAGTCTTCCTCAAGTCGACGAGAAAAGTCATTTGCGGTGTGGTTTTATTGTTTATTAATTTATAGAAATTATGTGGATTATAATTTGCATTTTTATCATGAAACTCTCAGAATTTCGAAATTTTTGGAGTAACTGAAAAAGATAATTATGACATTGTTCTTCTCATGCTTGTTTTTTTTGTCGTTAAGGGAAGTAGTAAAAGGTGCTTCAGATAGCTCGTCTATCTCTGTCATCCAAAACATTTACGGAGAAAGATTTGGGGAAGCACAAAGAGTACAAATTGGTTCCAGAGCCTACTGAATTCTATCTAACGTTGCAATATACAACAAACAACAAATTTATATACAGTAAACAGCTAATCTCGTAGAGTGAAAAGCGCCACTTAACGACAATTGAGATATTTACGAGTGGATAATTAATGCAAGGTTACGTTACGTGTTCGGCTTATAATTTCACTTGACGTAGAGTCTATTGACTATTTGTTATTCACATAAACACTGACTTGTTGAGGTCATCTATATAAACTGATAAACACAAAATTGCTCATCAAAACTATAAAAATGTGAACCAGTTTGTAGCTTGCTCAAGCGGTAATGAACCACAGATTGTGAGCACGGTTTAGCGAATGCGTTTATTTTACCATTAGAACTTGTAAACTGCTAAGCGTCAAGGGAAACATAAAGTGAAAACTAATCGCGAAATCTCCGCCAGCTGGTCGTATTCAAGCAGCATCGCTTGCCTGGACCCATTATCGTTGTGCGTCAAACGTGTCCCTATATTGGATGTCCTCAGTATAAGTCGTTAGCTGTAGCGAATACAGATGACGTAATCCGGCTAATGTGAAATCTGCAAACGTAACGCGACTAGTGTTGCGATGCTGCCAAGGTGCCTACTTCGCCTAACATAACTTCTCTCAAGTTGAAACAAGGGCTGCTCAAAGGAAGCGCTCGATATGGCAAGTAAAATAATTAGGTAACAGAATTGACTAGCTCGTCGAAAAAGCCAAGTACGAAGGGAGGGACGATATCGGATATGACCTAGTAGATAATCAACAAAGCGAGTACTATTTAACACAAATTTTATATATGACTTACTAGTCATATAGCCATCGGAATCTAGGGGAGCAATATAAACGAGAATCAGCTTGACACTTAGCGAATTCCGCTCCCCATTCAGAGATTTTTAGAAGAGATTCTTTGGGTCCAATCACGTGATCGACAATATTATTTTTACTCGTATGTTTCTGGAATAATGCAAAATAACATGGCATCAATTGCCGCTCCAATGATACTAAAATTTACAATAACAACATTATACAACCTAAAAGTGGAAGCCGCCATATTTAAATCAGAAGATTTCATCAGATGTTCAAACTCGGCTTGCACGAATCACTGACATCCGTCTGATGCCTGTAGTTTTCACGCGTTTTTTTGTGTCGAGTACACTTCGAAAATCCCTGATGGTAAAGGATATTTTCTAATACTTATGTTATTCGTAATTAAATTGTGTTTTAGCCGCTTTTTAGTGTTTCTGTAAGGCGCATAAGAGCGGCTGCTTCTAGGAAACCAGCGTAACGTAAGCCCGACGCGGACAGGATATATGATGTGCGCAAATGAATGATGCAAACGAAGTTCTCGATTTTGCTTTGATCATATGAAATTACACACTAGCTCAAAGAATTCATTTGCCCACAGTCGGTCGTAGTACTTGTACTAGTAGTCCTGCAACAGGTTTAACAACAACAACATCATCATCATCATCATCAACAACAACAACAACAACAACAACAACATTAACTATTGTGAATGTTGCGACAGGAGTGCCGACGCAGCGCCCGGCCAACGATCAACTTCACACGATTAGTAATAGCTAGTATTTGTCTTATGTCAAAAATTGAGCTGAACTACTTCGCTGTGATTTTCGCTTACGAAAACGAGCGTCCGCCAGCGAAGTCAACTCGTTTGTATTTTGTAAATGCGCAAGTTACGTCTCGCTTGTGGACAACGAACTATTGGGTAGGGTAAACCACCTGATAGGTGAGTTGAAGGAGTCGGCTGCTTGTGGGCAACCGGAGCTAATTATCAGCTAACTCAATACGATTCAATTGATTATTGAATCATTTTAGTTCTGAATAGGAGCAATTGATTCGTGCTCGTTGTAGACAAAGTATTTGGCTGGTGTGCCCATGCTTACCTTGCCTGACGGCCTGTAGTTTGTGAAACGTGAGCTCCTATCGAAAAATATATCGAACGGATATAATCCAACGTCACGTTGTTCCACGTTCAATCATGGAGGTGAATAGTACGAATGAGTCGATGAAGCGAGCCTATCTCGCTAAGTCAATTTCGAGCGAAATTAACAACGTTCATGTAGAAAATGTTATTCTCGATAACAACGCAATCATTGAAGCCTGTGACGAAGAGCACCGTAAGTCACCGTCTGTCCGAAGCACGACTTCGTCAAAGAGTTCTTTTTCATCGTGGGTCGATTCAAGCAGCAGTACCGGCAGCTCCCCCAAATCAATGTGGGTCGTGGTTTTTCCGTATCATTAGAATTAACGGTTGAGTTCAATGTGAGAACATGACCTCGTATATAAGTAAGTAGGTCCTGATAGATGGAAATTGAAAGCAGTCAGAACACTGGAAAAAGGGGGAACCTTAAAAGTTTAACGGAAAACTTCTTCAACATTTGTGAGGACCGCGTATATAGTACATAACAATAACAAGAAAAGGAATACACACATGTTTACCTTATTCAGTTTATTGATCATGTAAGGAAAATGGATGTCTGCGGAAAACATTTTTGAGATTACATGAAATGCTTGCGGAAACAAATTCGATTAGAGGCGAGGCTTTATCACGTGTAAAGAAATGTATTCGTAGAGCAGGGTGATGTATCTCCCACAAGAAAATATTATTTCACAATTGTAGTATATTTTTCCAATTTCACACCTTCTTGAGACGCTAATGTCGCATTTAGAAAACACGTAATTATAGGACATAGGAAGGAGCGGGAAATGTTCAAATCTCGGGCTATTGCAGACGTAATTTTTCTAGACAGCTAAATCATCAGCTTTAACGGTGCTAAATTATCTGGCCACCCGAATAGACTGAAAGATATCGATTTTATTTCCCTCGGTAAATGACGAATTATCTCTATATTTATTCTAATTTTCGTTGTTGTTGTTTGCTTCTACAGTGATGAGGAGGAGGGCGAGATTGTGTCGGACGAAGAGGTTTCTCCACCGACTGTTGAGCCTGTTATTCGGGGCTCCCCCTCGGGCCCGAGACCGGCTGTCTCGATAGGAGGTTTTGCTCAATCCCGGATTGGGGCCATCGCGATCGGCTCCACTGACGCCCGGCCACCTGAAGAAAAGAAACCGCTGTCCATTGGCGACATCGCCGAGCGAATCCAACAGCAGAACGCCATGCTTTTAGCAAGTGAAATGGACCGGCTTCACCAGCAGAAACAAGAAGAGGAGCGAGCTAGAAAGCGGCACCACAAAAAAGAAAAACGACGAAGACGAACGGGCAGTTACTCGAGTGACGATGGCCCACATTCTCCGCATAGAAAACATGTGCGTTATTTAGAGGGGGAAGACGTGTTACGGGGGAGCAGTACATTCGATGCAGTTAATGTTTTTTTCAACTACATCATTCAGCACTCCTATCTTTTTAATTAAACTGAACGCAGAAAAGTACCCGTATGTTGCCATCTGCTGGAGTAACATTATGTTACCAGGTTTTTTTTCTACTTTGAATATGAGTATTTTGTTATTGTCTTAGGATTTATTTAGAATTCACATCTTGGTGTACATCTCCAAGGCTTTTCAGTACGGTACACGAAAATGTAGAATATTTCAATATATAGTTCGAATTACTATATTTCGAGAACGGTATAGTAATTAACACAATTCGAGTTTTGACTGAGAGTGAAGCTGTTCCGTACCTTTAAATCTTTTTTGATACCGTTGTTGGTAAAGGGTATTTCACTTCTGCGCATTACAGAAACGCCGCCACGATAGGAAGCGATCTCGATCGCGTTCCCGAAGTCCGCCGGCTCAAACAAAAAGGAGTAAAAAACAGCAACAACAGCTACAACAACAACAACAGCAGCAACAACAACAACAGCAACAACAAGAAGAGACAGCCCGTGCCCCATGTAAATTCTACCAGGAGGGCAAGTGTAACAAGGCACCGGTAAGTATCCTGTTCAGCTTTTTCTTCGTGTAAAAATACAACTGGACCTTTTATGAAGCTTTATAATTTTGTTAGAATAATCAAAACGGATGATTATTATAGGTTACAGTTAAAAAATAAAATCTAGGTAGTCGATGAATTCTCCGAAACAAGCCACTTCATATCGTCTTCTAGATTTTGAAGAAGTTCATCGGGCAGCTCTGGATTTACTACCGTTAAGATATTGAGTAAAAACACATTCAAAAAGTGCTTTAGCAAAAAAAAAACAATAAAAGCCATTGACTTTGTTTGATTTGACATTATTATGTAACGAATGTTTGCTTTTAGGGTGAAGAATGTCCTTACTCTCATGCGGTTGAACAAATCAAGCGAGCCGAATTGTGTCGATTCTATGTTTCGGGCCACTGCGTCAAGCGTAACTGTCCGTTTATGCACGAGGACTTCCCATGCAAATTTTTCCATTCGGGAGCCCCATGCTTCGCCGACAAAAACTGCAGATATTCGCATGCACCCCTTACGGATGACATGCGAGACGTTTTGATGAAGGTAAGCCATGCGGCTGGAAATATTGCGTTACTGATTTGTTTTCGATTCGGCAGAGCTTTTGCTTGGACGATCATATGCGATCTAGAGTGTAACAAACATTTCCTGCAAATGATCTTATTAGCATTAACTAGCCGACTATATATCTTTTATGTTCTATTTTTTCAGTATTTGGACGAGTGTAAAGGCCTGAAACGAGAGGATCTAGAACGGTTAAGTCGTAAAGCCAAGGAGCGCGAGGAACGTCATAAAGACGGCGGTACAGGCCCCAACAGAGGTGGTCATAGGGAGCCACTGCTTGAGCTCCCACCACCGAAAGACATGGAAGAAGGCCAAACTGCTGGCGGCCTTGGTCCTATGGGAGGGGCGGCAGCCTTTGCTGGAGGAGACGTCGATCTGCGCATTCCAATACCTCCATCAGGCGGGAACACAACGCACTCGGTAGGGGACATGGACTACCGCCTGCCCAGCGGAGATCAGCGTGACAACAGCCGATTACAACCTGCGGATCAGGACGAACGATTGGATCGGCCGGATAGAAAAGGTAGTCCTCCAAGGACAACCTTCTACCGAGATACGATTGAATCACCTAGGGCACAAGCGGGGTCTCCTAATAATCGTCGGGTGTCGGTAGACACAGTACGGGACAGAAGTCCTAACAGCACGCGGAGGAGAAGTTCAGAATCAAACGATTTGAAAAGGTGAGTTAACTCACTGGGTGAGCAACTGCGGTAAAAAGTCTACAGTGTAAACAAGTGGTCTCTGAAAACCTTTTGAAATAATTGTAAGAGGTAAATATACTACCGATTCATACGTGGATATGGCTCTCTTCGTACTAGTATAACCTTAACAGATTGTTGTTGTTGTTTGCGTGTACTTTCGCAAAACGGAAAACGATATGACGTTTTTTATTATACAAACCCAATGGGGACGATAGTCCCGCCAAATTATATTATTCCTATTATAAAAACCAAACTTTGTTTTGTTGAGGTTCGTGTAGAAGCTTCGTAAACGATGCATAATGTTTGTCATTCGTTTCAATGTTACTTCTTTATACGATTTCAAATGTATATCCTAAAGCTCATACCTTTTATTTTGTCATCATTTTATGTACTCGACGCGTGTGTAACGTAGTTTGGTTCTTGTGTTCTACTTTCCTTTTAGAAGCGATTTCCGTCGCGGAGACGATGACCAGCGACACTCAGAGGAATCGACCTCAAAGCAGAGCGCAATCGAACGGCCCACGGATCCTCGTGACCGCCTAAGGACCCTCGCTGGACAACCCTTGCCAGGCCCGCCAATGCTCGACAGCAACGCTCACGTGCCCAAATCGCAGAGGGACCTCCTTATGCGGCTGCAGCAACGGGCCGACAACAATAGTAATATGAGCGCTCATTTCAACCAGGACTCGCAAGGCAGCAGCGTTGAGGAAGGCGGTCGCACGCCGATGGCGGATGAAGACCTTGGCGGAGGAGACGTTGGAGCTAGTGGTCGTGATTCTAACGAAATCAGAGGTCATGGCGGAGATGAGGATAGTGACGAAGATCTCACACATGTGCTCAAAAGGTAATCTAGTTTTTTGTATTAACAAACAGGTACTCAGATGATAGTGTCGTTATTATTAAGTTATTGCAATAATAGGTATTTGTGTGCGCGTATATTGTTTCAAGGAGAATATGTTAATTTAAGTTCGCGTTTTTTCGCGCATGTAGCCTATAGGAAAAAAGGCTTGCCAATCTATTTTAATAAAACTCCAATAATAATGGAAGGGTTCTGGGTCCAGTTGTTTGCAAACATTTCTAATCAGATTTTTCATGTACACTTGTGTTATTTCTATGTTTCTGTCTACTAATCTTTCCAGATTGCAACAGGAGCCAAAGAAGGAAGTCACACCGGCAGCGGTTTCAGCTGCTCCGGGCGGAATCGACCTCGTAAAGATAATTTCTTCAATTGCGTCGAGCAGCTCATCGAGTACGCAGAACTTTATAGATCAGCCGGCTGATTACTGGAAACGGGTGTTATCTATTGCGGGGGTCGACCCCGCAACAGGAACACCTGCTACAACTTCGACGGCATCGGCGGCTAGTACCAAAACACAGCAAACAATGCCGTCATCACCTACACTTGGCTTCAATGTTCCACAAAGTTCACCTGCTGTTGCAACATCTGCACCAGCTAAAACCGACCCGCGTCGCCGAGATCCTCGTCAGCAACCGGCCGCTTCCCAAATGACAGGCATGGCCTCATCCCGTGATGTTTCCGTACCACCTTTGGGTCCCCTGCCGATCTTCCCCAAGCTCGAGGTAACCGCCGTTATCGAGTCACGTGACGGAGATGCTCCATATATTCTCCGGCAGATTGAGCCAGCACCATCGCCAGCTCGCTATGAAAAATTGGTGCACCTTGTGGAGATGAATTTCCGACTGAAAACGGATCCACGACTTGTGCGCCACCTGGAGAAGCTACCACGGAAAGAAGAGGTATTAGACACCCCTCAATCGCCTCCCCAGCAGCAACAACAGCAACAACCACAAATGTTGCAGCCAGGAGGAAATTATATGCCACCGCTAGTCCCGCCACTAGTGCCGCCAATGGTAAGCATGGCTGGAGCTCTCGGCACGATGGGTAATCTTGCCCCGGGAATGGGCAATATGGTCCAAAATATGGCAGCCGTCTTAGGAAGTCAACCTCCCGGAGGTAAGACACCTCTCTTGCCGCTTCCCAGCTTACCGCCAATCAACCTATCGCCGATGCAGCAGCTAATTCAAGATCCTCGTTCTAAAATCGATCCCCGACTATCACGAGATCCACGCAATCAGACTGTGCAAAATAGTGGCTCGGTAGGTGTAGAACCATCTCGGATGGGACCGCCGCTAGGGGTAGATTCCAGGGGAACGATAGATCCAAATGGATTCCAGCAACGAATGCCAGGTCCGATTGGCCCAATGAATCCCATGGCTGGAGCTATGGCAACTATGAACGATCCCCGTCGGCCTGGTGCCGCCTTTTTAGGCCCTCGCCAACAAGTCGATCCTCGACAGGCGGCTCGAGCAGTTGTAGAGGCAGGCCGTCAGTTTGGACCGCCTCCTAGGCAGGGACCACCAGGTGGTCTTACGGGAGCTCCACTGCCAGGAGCAGCGACTGGAGCCCCCATTGAACAGGCTCCAATGAGCAGCGACTCACGCCAGAAGACTGACCCACGCTCGAATCGAAATGATCCTCGCCAGAAACGGGATCCTCGCAATAAAGAGCAAATGACACCTGTTGCCAAGGAAGGCCATCAATCACCACCATTGTCACAGCCTAGCGTCGAGGACACAAACACTTCCAGGCCAAAGATGACCTACAGCTCACCTCTATCGGCATACCACGACGGGGCACAGGAAAACAGTTACACGCGACGAAACATAGGACGCAGTAAGAAGAAAAGCCAAGCTGGAAAGAACGCGGCTGGTCAAGCCCCTGCGAATCCTCCATCGAGTGGGGTTTCGGCAGCACCCGCCATTGACGGCGCTGGCGAAACCGAAAAGCCCGTTGTTCCGTCAGTCGCTGAACCTTCAGCGTCACCAGTAGCGCCAGCCGATATGGGGGCAGCTGCGCTTCCACCCCCGCCATCGCTGCTATCCCACCCGGTCGATCCTTACGCGCCCGCTGACGACAAACCGCTCAGCGAGATGTTTAAGACGAAAGACCCCACCGCTTCGCCATTTAATTGATTTATTCATTAGTTCGTCCATTGAGACGATGGTATGATACATGGAAATTTACGACCTACATTCTCGATCGGTTGTCACAGTAATGAGGCAGTGCCCCTTTTCAAGCGTAAATGCACACGATGTCAGCGGAAAACGGGTTTTTGACTAGAAAGACTATTAGAAAAGGGAGATAGCTACACAATCTGACGGTGATAATATGCAATAACGACCAGTAATAACTAGAATATTATACAGAGATACCGTAGAACGCTCCTATTGGCGTTATAACAGCAGCTACTGGCACCGTCACAGCTCATCGTAGTTGGTTACCTATTTATTAATTATTTATGGATCCCTTTTCCGCATGTATTGTTCGCATTCAATTTAGTAATTGCCATTACTTCAACCAAATCATCACATTATTATTACTATTACCATTAATATCTTTGTTATAATTATTATTGATATCAATAATAATAATAGTTCCATCACTATCACTCATGCCGCTGACCCGTACCTACCGGCATAAACACTGAAAGTAACCCACGAATTTTATGTAGATAAAAAAATGAAACGCTTAGCGGCTGCAGTGGTGAATTGCGGTGGAACAATTCAACTTGGTATATATATATATATATATGTATATATATATATATATATGTATATATATATATACATATATATATATATATATATATATATATATGTACGTATAAATAATAAATTTAATAATAAAATCTATGCGCTGATAACAGGCATGGTGAGCATGTTTGCCAACTACAAAAAATGAGGTCGAGGTATAAGAACAGTTCGGCGGGCAGGTTTTGTTCATTCCAATGACATTGTGACAAAAAAAGTAAGCAAACACATGTGAAATCATTAGCAGCAAACAATAAACAGTTCTCTATCTAGAGACCGAAGTCGTATCAAAAAAAAGGTGCTAGCATTCGAGTGAAAGTTCGCCGTATGAGTGCTGCGCCCGGTAAGAGACGGCGTGCATTCGTACAGCGCAAAGAAAATAGTGACGAAGAAGGACAATCGTTCTATTGAGCGTTAGTTATGCTTCAAGCGAAACAAACCCCAAGGCCCGGCTCGCTGAGCTCTTCTACACAAAGTTGTCGTAGTGTATATTGTACATTGCTGTATTGTAGAACTCAATCGACTTTGTTTTTTTTTTGTAGAAAACTCTCAACGATAATAAATCGCATTTTTCATTCATGAGTAATACTTCACATGCTTTGTCTGTCGCTCTGTACACTTGTGTGAATGTGGAAGTACATGCATCGGCATACAAAGGCTGAACGCAGCTTTGAACGAGTTTTCAATATAACGGTATCGTAGGCCGAGCAACTAAACACGCTGGGCGCTTAAAACTATCGATTGAGTGTGATGGTTAGGCTATAGATTGAGTATGAAAGCTAGAAAGTTCGTTTTTTTTTTTGATGGAAATATAATATTTTGTCATACAACAGATGCTTTTTATTTTTAGTTTATGATGAAGAACGGCAGAAAACGGTGAGTCGTATTACTTTCTAAAGGTAATAATCATAATCATCATCATCATCATCGTCGTCGTCATCGTCATAATCAAGCTAACTATAGTGTCATTCTAATAGTGACTGCGTGCTGAAAAATATTTAGTACAGCATTTTTCTTTCTTATAATTAGTTTTATTTTCCATTTATTTATTTGAGACAATTTACAGTAGAGTTGAATCTTCATCTGCTGTACATGTTTTTTTTGAGTGGTACTTTTATATGGTTGACTATTGATTTCCAATGAATGAAACAGTTTTTTTTTTATTTTCTATATTTTTCCCTTCGTTTACTTTAACTAGATGATAAATGTACGAGCAAATTCGTGAGTGTTGATCTGACTGTTTATTTATGGATCTGGATAATTGTGGGATATGAATGCGAGCTTGCAAAAAAATGCAGTTCCAGTTGTTCCATAGAAACATAAAACTCATCTAGAACAATGAATGAGGACGATCTCGATCACTGCGTAGAGCCTGACAAACCCGGTGTAATACTATGTAATTAGCAGAGAATTGCTAGTGTGTAGAATCTATTGTGCATCAACAGGAAAAATGATGCAAGGGCTACCTGTATATTCTGTTTGTATGTAAAGAAATAAAATGTCAACTATTTCGAGGCTGAAATAACTATATACCCGTACGTGTTTTGATTTTGCGGTAACTTTTGATATCTGCGGCGTGAAACTGACGAAGAACAGGAATATTGATTACGCCACAAATACATTTAACACTTTTGAAGTGTATAAGTTATTTACCGGATTTCACGAATGGTGTACCGACAAGAAAGGTGTTGATAAGGGCGTAACAAAAAACGTTTCGAATTAAATCCTTATCATAAATATATATATATATATATATATACTAACTATAGGTTTAAGTACCAGTTTAGTGATTTGAAGACAGGAAAAACATTTGTGGGAAACGCAAGCCGCTAGTGGCGTCCGTTCTTATCCTAGCTCACTTTTGAGATTTTAACGTTCGAGGTAAACAAAAATCAATGTATAAGTCCGTAGTAAAAATATTTTCTAAGTTGGATCGTGTCTTATAATTATGAATGCGCGAATATGTGCTACATTTATGTAAGCCCATCTAGATATGAAAAAAACAATGCGGGATACGTTTTGCCCTATACATAAAACTAAACTGTCACAATAAATTATCATAATATAATAGTAAGGTATAAGGCTAAAGTTGACGACACAACAAGACAATGAATATGGATGAACGATGAATAAAACAATGAAAATTTAGAATGCTTTTTCTGTTCGAAGAGCCTACATAAAGCGTTGATCTTTCTAATTATACCTGACAAACTTCTGAACGAACAGCAGATATTGGCAAATATTAAATGTAATAAAAATGTAAGATACTAAATAAATAAACAAATAAGATGCTAGGTAAGATATAGCTTTATATTTCGCGACATAAGGTTACAAATTTTAGTTTTTCACTTTCAAATTATGAAAAAAATATAAAATTATGAAAAAATATGAAATACCATTTAGGACAGTGGGGATAAAGGCAAAAAAAATTATATGTGCCAATCAATATGTTAATGGATGGATGTTTTACATTGAAACATCCAAAGAAAATAATATAATATTCCAATTTAATGATTCATTTATACTGATCTGTAAATGTATTTTGGCAATTAAAAATGGACCGAGACCGGATAGAGTATGTCCCGTTGGAATCTTTGTGCTACCAATATATGGAATGTCATTTATGGGCAACGGTTGCTGAATTCACTGAATAGATCATTAAATAGTTATTACTCGCGGTTTCCCTTACTGCTTCAATTAAGTACTTAAATATTTAATTTTCTATCTTTTTAGTTTTCTAAGATTCTATGAAGCAGCTTTATGCTAGCGTGAATATTACTAAGGGTTGGCTGGTTCCAAGGCCGTAGTTTCGCAGACGTTAGAAAACAGAATTTCGGAATTTTTTATAATTGGCTCTAACATACTTATTTTTGCGAAAATTCGACTGTCACGATACTTCTGCAGTCTCTTGTAATAATATAAGCATAATATGTTTAAGCTGATGCCTATAGAATTTCTGCTATAAAAAAAGACGAGCTTAGAATAAGCAGTGGCGTCTTTTGTCTAAAGAAAAGCATGATTTTACCTGAATTTCAACTCCAGCTGAATATTTTCATCTTTTTAGACCTTGTTGTGTCTTCTAATCAGTTTATTCAATTTCTCGTTTGTTTTTTGTTGTAATTTTTGGATACTGAAGAGCTTATGTGGTCTTTAAGACTTACTTCATCATCACACCTCACGGATTGCAGCCCCCCCCCCCCCCTCTGCCCCGGGTGATTCAGGTGTGAAGGTAGGGATGTTGCTGCTTTGTTTCCCGGACAGCCTCGCTCATTTAGCGCAACTGAGCTTCCTGCAACTTCTTGTTGGCGATCTTGATCTTCCCAAGCATTTCCCATTGCATAGGATCCTTCCAGTCGCAATCCATGATCTCATTAGGTTGAGTCTATGGCTTACCTCCGGGCTTAAAAGCATCTCCTGAAGCCAGTTATTTCGGGCGACTACGATTCTAAAATTCGACGACTAAAATTCGAAGAACACTTCACAAACTTCCTTTAAAACAAAAAAATAATGTGCAATGAAATTACAATAAGTTTATGAAAGAAAAAGAGTAACTTTTAGAGTGGTATATAGAAGCAAATCAAGATTAGAGGGGAAACGTGGAGTGCATTTATAATTACCAAAGTACAGGCAAGCTGCTTTCTAAAGAGATTTATTGTTAGCAATTCAGCAAACATTTTCGTAATACCTTTCTCTCTACAGATCATCAATACTTGTTAGACTATTAGATGTTGGCTGTGACAACTGACCGTATCACTAACAGGCACAAAGCGTGTACGTGCGGGGCCCATTATCGGATATGTGTTCCATTTTGTGACATTATCACGTAGTAACTACCGTAGTAATGAACCGATGCGATACATAAATACGTGTATGACCTTTTGTGGTTCATGGCCGGCTGTATTTTAAGAAATACCTATAAATAAACTGTGCGCCGTATTTAGGGTGTCCGGGTTCAACAATGAAGTATATATCAGGGTTTATATCACACCACAGTTTATATCCGGGTCATTTTTGGGAGCCGGCACTATATTTTGTGGATTATTATCGCAAAAATAGCCAGGATTATATTTGACGTGGATTGATTAAATGTAGCACATTTTTAAATCATAATTATTAGATCAGCGCTTTTGAATGCCGGTCGCACTTCTGCTAAGTCAATCACTTAAGAACTCATTTATTCGTATTTAAAAATTACAGTCAGCTCTTTGGTATCATTTCATGCCAGCATGAGGCCCCTCTAGCAATGCACTCGCAATCCGTTTGCTTAACTTATGTATCAATATCGAGGGTAGACGCATGGTTCGCCTTGGAGCTAAAAGCCAGCTGTCTAAAGCAATGATCAATGGCTAGGCACTGAAGGCAAAACAGTTATTATCTGACGGCTACTGTTGCAGTTAAACAGAAAAAGAAGATATCTACCTAAGACTATCGCTAAAATTAGTCGACTGAAACATCCCATTTACGTATGTAAATCTGTATTGCTCTTCTTTACGGGGTAAAATACAGTGCGTAGAATCAGCAGGTACAGGCGAGATGATTGCTCATCATCTTCTAGTTCTTTCTAGATTTCCTTTCAGCTTCATATTGTTCTCGAAGTATATTGATCCCTTTTCAAATTTCGCGGTATAAGCCAAAATATACACAATTAGCTACAGACGTGTATTTCGACAGCGTCAAGCACAGTATATATTTATCCCATTTATAAGCCTTACATTTGATCTCGTGTCAATAACTTGCCGACAAGCTTTACGGAGATATTTAAACGCTGTAAGCCGGCAATTACGATTATTCTTTAAGCCCTGCAATGGGACGGGAAAACTACTCTAATCCACGGGCATTTCGCAGTTATGCACATTCGCTAGCGGCTTATTGATATTCTATTATTAACGCGTACAGGGCATTATTGCTCTTTCTCTATGACTCTTGTTTGTATCACTAATGTGAATCAAAAAGCAGCTTTATCCGGAAATGTAATCGATATTTATCCAACTGAATTAATTGCGGCTTTTTTCAAATTAAGTTGCTTTTAAAGGCAACTAATGTGACAGTCGCAACATTTTCAGTTACTGCGTAGTGGTGTATCATAGCATTTTTTTCGCAGCTTTTAGCACACTGTTTGATTACATGACCAATTTCGGTCAGTCGTAAATTCTCGGAGTGACTTTATCCACTGAGTCTAGCTCTGCCTTCGACCTACAGGTCCCACCGAGTTCGAATTTATGGGCTTGTGATGTCCTTTTCTAGTATACAGAATATTTTAATATGTAGGTACAGCGCAATGTGAGAATAGCTCGAAACATATGTTTTTCGTTTTTGGTACACTACTGCAGGCAGTATTTCTCGAAGATCACAGCCCATCCGAACGCTGGGCAACTGCCCCCTATAGCCTGGCGTGCCGCCTGCGACAGATCATTATTTTTAGAAGACCGGTAAAACGATGGCTGCATTTACAGCTAATTAGACTAAAAAGGAGGTTGATTTTACTTCTCAGATTGGACAATCATTGACAAGATAATGGACCATTTTTGGTTTAATGCGGCTTCTGTTAATGACCGGTTTAGAGGGCTTGAACCGCTCGGCGTGGCCATGGCTCATTGTTACATACTGCCGGATGCGACACTCGATGCGTTGGAAGCAATTTTGATGTGTCAGATGTTGACAGATTCGAAGCATAGGGGATCCTACTTCTAGAGGTCGATGCCAACAACGTTCTGTATAGCGGTAGTTTCCGAGCCATGTTTGTCTCGTACCAGGGCCGGCTGTCCCTTCGCGAAAAGAAGTTATCTGTCTGGCGTGAGGATGATTTCGCGAGTATGCTTAATCTCGTGCCTTTGACGACGGGTCGACCTCGCTAGGACACTGATCTTCAAATTTAATGGCGGGAATCAATGGCGGGCGTTCCATCGTCTCACTAAACCTCTGACCGGGGTCTCGTACAGCATTCGTGTGCTATCGCCTCGTCGAATTTCGTCGCCATAAGAGAGGTGCGCTTGTTTATCCAGTGTGAATTTCTAAAATAGACGCAGTTTGTAAATAAAGATGAAGATGCTGAGTTGCACAGGCTTGGAATGTGTATTTAGTTACACGGTAACGATATCAGTTCACCGCATGGGACAAAAACGTTAACGTCGACGGTCGACATGATGGCTGCAAAAGGCACCACCGCATAGAAGGGCTATTATTGTAATGACCTGTTTAGTTTAATTGACTAATTTATAGTGATGCCGATAGTGATGACTGTTATTAGAACAGATTTGCCAAATACGTTCATCGTTTTTAAATCAATCAACAAGATAAATGAGCAAATAGATTATGTTTTTGTCAGTTGATGAAAATATTGCTCCTTTTGTCTAAGGAATAGGTATATTCGTTATGGTTATTGGGGTCTTTCTTTAAAACACTGCCTGCTGGCTATTATTTCAGCGGATGCATGGCTAGATCCGGTGAAGTTAATCATTAAAGATACGTTAAAAAGAAAACAAATATATTTATTGTTCCAGTTCTTCTTCTATTTGGTTTGCGTAACATTG